AGATAGATAGATAGATAGATAGATAGATAGATAGATAGATAGATAGACAGATGATATAGATATGAGAAAGTAATAATGAGAGATGTAGGTAGATGAGAGAAATAATGATAGATGGATGAATGGATAGGTAAAGATTAGAGATAGACAGACAGACAGACAGATGATAGATGATAGGGATAGAAAGATGAGAGAGAGAGAGAAATAATGATAGATGGATGGATGGATGATAGGGATATACAGATGATAGATAGATAGATAGATAGATAGATAGATAGATAGATAGATAGACAGACAGACAGACAGACAGACAGACAGACAGATAGATAGATAGATAGATTAGATAGATGGCTTCCCCATGACTTCGCCAAAAACTCGCAAACCTGACCCTGGGATACTTCCACCATCGTAAGTGTGAACCAGTTGCGTCTGAATTTTGATGCTGCAGCCATCTTAAGTGTGAAAAACGGCCACTGCTCCCCTTTTCTCAGTGCCGTGGCAACTGTGAACGGTTGTAAGTCGAGGCTTACCTGCCAAGCCCACCTAATATAGGTATCTATCAGATCAAACCATGATCATCATCTTCATTTCACGACACCATGATCCCTTGCGGGATGGAATCTGGGCATCTGAATGGAGCTAGCAGAGTGTTTTTTCTGGCCAGATGCCCTTCTTGTCACCAATGTGGAGTTTTGTTCAACAGATATATCCTCAGTGTGCCCAGAGAGAGAAATATCTGCCTCTACCTAGGATCGAACTCACAGCCTCCTGATTATGAGGCAAAAGTTCCACCTCTAGGTCACCGCACCACTCTGATTAGAGCAAACGATGATGCTAGTCGTGAATGAACCATTTATAGATCAGGGCATCAGAGAGGCATCCCAACCCTGGTGGGATCGAAGTATCACCTGGATATTTTGTTTCTGAGATATTTGCTCCGAGATAGAGTGGCCAACAAACCCAATCAGAGTCAGCTTTGGAAGCCATATTAGCTAACCAGGAGCTTCCACACTGCCAGGGGGAATTTCATGGAGCGTATGTGGTTAGACACAATAGCATTTTTTCTTTAGAGTCAAGGTCATGTTGTTTCTGCACCTGAGTGAGGGGACGTCCCAAGTTGGGACGGATGGGGATTGGGGCACGTGATGGAATGATGGGGGCGGGGGTTGGATTTGTAATCTTTTACTTATTGGAGGGAAACCCGGAACTCTCAGGTTCGAGTTTTCCCAGGTGTGCCAGTATTGTTCTGACCCAAGTTTCATCAAACGTAATTAATCACAAACTTGTTTTAAAAGCAAAAACCTATTTTATTGCAACGCTGGGAATTGCTTTCATTCCCAGCTGGAATTAAGCTCACACAGTTCCCCAAGATAAGCACACACCTTTCACTGCTGTGGAATGCTGCCAAAAACACAATGAACTAGAAAAGAAACCAACCGAAGTAACAGAAAAAAACCAACCAGAGTACACAGAGCTTCGAGGAGGACTCGGAACCGATCGAACGACTTTGCTTCCTGCAAAGGCTTCGTCATCTTGGCCTGACTTTTATCCCTTTATGGGAGGGGCCATCACCTCCTAGCCTTACTCCTGAGTCGCCCCTTTTGTCTCAGCTGCTCTCGCCTTCTGGCAGCTCTGCGCATACGCGCATTGGGAACAGGCTTCCCTTGTTCCTCTGCCTCGCTGCTGCCAGACTCCGGAGGCTCCAGAATCAGCACCCCACTCCCAGATGGTCCTGGCCCCATCTCTGCATCAGATGCAGGACCGAGTTCTCTCCAGACTCCCAGACTGGACCCTGTTCTTCCCCACTGTCCAATTCCGCTGCCATCTACACCGGCTGCCGGTGAACCACAACAGGTGATTGGGGCATGTGATGGAATGATGGGGGTGGATTTGCAATATTTTGCTTATTGAAGGGATAATTTCAGATTTGGGATTTCCCAGATGGGCCAGTTTACTACTCCAATAAAAAAAAAAAGGAACTTTGAGTGAATGCCCGTCTGGGAGTTATTTGTTGGAGTGGAGGTTTTCTGGAACGCTGACCATCAGCCTATAAATAATGAAATTAACAAATTGGCCAGCTTCCTGCTACCCCAGGATTTCCCCCTTCCAGATCCGAAGCATTTAGAAACCAACCTTGTTAGCAGATGGGATGGGAATCTGTCAGTCCAGGATGACAGTTTGAGACTGGAAGGGAAACTTTAATTGGCAGGAGAAAAGTGAGCCTTTAGCACAACACAATGGCCTTGACACTTGGGTGTCATGTAACTTCTTTTACATTAGCACACCCCGCGGCTTCTGCGATACTGTAAATGAAACGAGCTCCCTCCGGTGTACGATTCCACCTCACTTTATGGGCAGAGCCGAGAACTGCTGCCATCATTCACACCTTTTCAAGTAATTTGGGGACTGTTAGATACGAAGCCAAGGTTACTGCCGCGGTTTAAGGGCTGCAAACCATGAAACCTATTAAAACACGACAAGATTGGATTCTCACGCCTGGCACACTAAGCCACAGGCAGAGTCATTAGTCTCGTCTGCAACGTCCACTAAAAAGACCACCCCAAAAAAAAAATCCATCCCTCCAAAAACTTCTAAAATCCGATCTGAAATTCGCCTTATTTAGAAGTTTACGGCTTATTTTGATGGACAGTTCAGAAGAAGAGCAGATCATGTCGGATTCCGACGGACCAATGGTTGCCAACCAGCAGGGACCACTGGGGGTCCATGAGGAAACTGTGGTGGTCCACAGAGAAACGCCCCCCCCAAAGCAATTAATCCCGGCTGCGCGGGAACACGAGGCTTGCGTCGCTTGCATTGTGAACAACACGAGGGGAGGGGGGAAAGGGCGGAGGGGGGAGAACTTGCCCCACTCGTCCCACGCGCCCGGCCTGGCTACGGAGCTGCTTCTTTCTGCTTCTTCCTTCTTCTGCTTTTGGCTGCACGCAAGGAAAGCAGCCAAAGTCTTTCTTTCTCTCCCCCAAACTCCGCCAGAAATGAGTCTTTGAGACCCTACAAGGCCTTCTGCGCCAAGAGGCTGCGCCGGCAAAAGACTCATTTCTGGGGGAATTTGGGGGAGAGAAAGAGAGACTTCTGCTGCTTTCCTTGCAGGAACCGGGCCTGGCTAGTCTAGGGAAGAGAAGGACCAGGGGAGACAGGAGAGCATCTTCCAATATTTAAGGGAGGGGCTGCCCCAGAGAGGAAGGGGTCCAGCTATTTTCCAAGGCACCTGAAGGCCACACAAGGAACAATGGATGGAAGCTGATCAAGGAGAGATTCAACCTGGAAATAAGGAGAAATTTTCTGGCAGTGGGAACCATCAACCCATGGAACAGAAGCTGCCCTCAGAAGTTGTGGGAGCTTCATCCCTGGAGGCTTTCAAGAAGGGGCTGGACTGCCCTCTGTCAGAAATGGTGTAGGGCCTCCTGCTTGGGAGGCGGGGGGTTGGACTAGATGACCTACAAGGTCCTTTCCAACTGTGTTAATCTTGGGCTCTCAGACAGGTAAGATGCCTTTCTTTGCACAGCCCATCAATTCTGGGAGAAAAGGCCTGTCAGGCTTGGTCTGCGACGGTCATAAAAAGTAACTGAAAATCTTCAAGGCTTTTGCTCCAGGTGCACAGGTAGGCCTCGACTTACAACAGTTCATTTAGTGACCATTGGAAGTTACCACAGCACTGAAAAAAGCGGCTTCGGACCATTTTTCACACTTAGGACTGTTGCTGTCACATGATCGAAATCCACACACTTGGCAATTGACTCATATTTATGATGGTTGCAGGGTCCCGGGTGTGTGTGTGTCATGTCACCCCCTTTTGCGACCTTCTGGTGAGCCAAGTCAGCGGGGAAGCCAGATTTAACAGATTTACAGAGTTGGAAGGGACATTGGAGGTCATCTAGTCATTGGTCCGGCAGGGCAGGAGAAGGAATTCCAGACATGAAGGAATGGCAATAAGTCAACATGGTTGGAAAGATACCAGGAACAGAGATAAGCAAAGTCAACACAAGGTAAATCCATGTTTGCTCCCAGCAGCTGCCGCACTCAGCTTGCATGTCTTTTAAACTCCCTTCCCAGATATGGCTAATGAAGGGAATCGGGACCCTTTCCTCCCCCATAAGCCACTCAACCCAAGTTGGTCCCTTCTCCATTCCTCCCTGTGTGACCTAGGATGAAGAGAGGGTGGGCCTGGGTCTTCATCTGAACTCTTTCTCCCTTGTTCTCCCTCTTCCCTGCTCTTCCCAGCTAGACTTTGCCCTTCCCCCATTTTTCTCCACAGCCAATGGAGGCACACTCTCACTCCCTGTCAGCTGTTTGTCTTCCTCCTCGGATTCAGACTCCCACAGGGGCATGACAGGTTGAGAAACCCTGCTTTGATGCCTCCAATATCATGGTGGTTGATGCTACGTATCAAACCAAGGAAGGTCTGATCCAGAAAAGAAACCAGATTTTGCCGAAATGAGCTACTCTACGGAGTGTGGGGTCTCAATGAACCCTCATCCCACCCCCAAAACCCACAAAAATTTGGTGGCCCCTTCATGGTCCACCTTAGCTCCATTTTCTTGGCAGATCTGGCCAAATTTTGGAGGACCCAGCCTGGAAACCCAAAGTACATTCACAAGAACGACCGTGAGAAGACGACAACCAAAGGCATCTCTTACTTGTTGAAAACTCTTTTCCCGAGTCGGGAACGGGATGTGTTCGCCTCCTGTTTCAGGTCTGTGAGGTTGGGGTATTTCTTCTTGGTCTTCCCTTTCTTTTTCCCTCCTTTCCCTTTTCTGTTGAAATGAGAGGAGCCAAGATCGACGCCCGTGGCGGCTTCCACTTCTCTCATGAAGTCGGCATCTCGCCATTCTGAGGATAAAAACAAATAAATACGACCACTGTACCAGTGATTCGTCCCCAAATCACTCACCTCCTTGTGATGCTCTGATTTGGAAGCCGTATCTCTCTAATGATATAGGCATACTTCACAGAATAACAGAGTTGGAAGGGACCTTGGAGGTCATCTAGTCCAACTCCCTGCCCAAGCAGGAGAGTCTATTTCAAAACGAGCCTCTACCGCAGGATCGAATTCACAACCTCCTGATTGTGAGGTGAGAGCTCCACCTAACGTTATATTTTCATCTCCTAAATGAATTGATATTTTTCGTGGTATTGCAATATACAGTATTATTTTTGTATGAGGATACAAATAAATAATGAATTAGGACCAGCTCACTGCCACGGTGCCTTCTCAAGACATGTGGGCACTTCTGCATTCTGCTCTCTTAAAAAAAAAAATAGTAGCTGATTCTAATGAATAATCAGAAATTCAATGAAAAGATAAGTTAACAGATAAGTTAAAGATGAGCTGCCCAGATATCCTTTGATAGTGAGATGGGCAACATATAAATTTGAGAGAGAATAAGAAAATATATGGCTTTTTCAATTATTGCTTAGAGTATCTATCCATTCATCCACTCATCTATCCATCCATCCATCATCTATCTATCTATCTATCTATCTATCTATCTATCTATC